GGTTTTTCGAGACAGGGTTTCTCTGTGTAGTCCTGGCTGTCCTGGAACTCACTCTGTAGACCAGGCTGGCCTAGAACTCAGAACTCCACCTGCCTTTGCTTCCCAAGTGCTGGGATTAAAGGTGTGCGCCACCTCTGCTTGCTTATTAGACACAGTAAGATATACAGCCCAGGCTAGCCTCCAATTTGCCTCAATCTTCCTGAGGCAGCTCCTTGGTTTGCTGAGATTGAGCATGGTCTCAGGTAGCACAGGTTTTTCCTCAAACTCCAAATGTAGTCGAGAATGACCTGGGACCCCTAATCTTCCTGCCTTTACCTTCCACATAGGGATTACAAGTATGAGTCCCCATGCCTGGCTTCACATAGATTTTTAAGGTTTTTTTTTTTTAAATGTGTGTGAGTGTGTGTGTGTGTGTGCGCACGCGCATGTGCATGCATGCATGCATTGAACACATAGGCCATGTATGTGCAAGTGTCCTTGGAGGCCGAAGAAAGTACCAGATCTCCTCTCCTGGAGACTAAGCTACAGGTAGCTATGATCTGCTCTATGCGGATCCTGGGAGCCAAACTCCAGTGCCCTGGAAAAACAGCATACCTCCAGCTCAGTCTCTCTCTCTCTCTCTCTCTCTCTCTCTTGCTCTTCCTCTCCTTCTTTCTTTCTCTCAAATTCTCACACTTCCCTCCCCTCCCCAGTCCTTTCTTTGACATAGATTTTTATAGCATTTGAAATGTAATGAGTCAGGGGATGTAGTTTAGTTGCTAGTAGTCCCAGGCTCGACTGTCATAAAACACAAAACCAGGCGTGAGGCTGGGGAGGTGCTTCAGTGGATATCAGTGCTTGGTGCACAAGGATGAGGACCTAAGTTTGAATCCTGGGCACCCCAGTACAAAGCAGGGCATGGCTGCATGCGCACAAGTATGGCCCTGGCCCAAAGAGGAAGAGGCAAGAGGGTCCCTGGAGCTTGTGGCTGTAACTCCAGGTTCAGTGACAGACCTGGCCTCAGGGATGGATGACTCATATCCTTCTGTGGCCTCTGTGTTTACAAAGAAGTATGTACTCACTGCTACACACCCCTGTATGCAACACATATCACGCGCGCGCGCGCACACACACACACACACACACACACCCCTTGTTGAAGAATTCTTTATAAAGTTCCACTCAATTTCCATGGAGTGGAACCTCTCAGGATTAGGTGGAGGGGGCTGAGGAGAGCAGGGAGTCAAAGGTCCAGGAAGGGTAAAGAGAGGGACACTGGAGGAGGGGGCACTCGACAGAAACAACTCAAGGAAAAACTTGTTCTGACTGGTGTTTTAGAGACGTGTCGGTACATTGTGTCAGGAAGGCATGGTGACAGTTGTTCACATTACAGCAAACGGGAAGCAAAGGGCACGGCTGGAACCCAGGGTAAGCATGACCTACAAAGACCCTGTGCCAGAGACCGATTTCTGTCAGCTAGGCCCCACAGACTTCAGAACGCTCCTACAAGCTGAGGACTGAGTGTTCAAAAATGTAAGCCTGAGAAGAACATTACAGATTTAAGCCATAACTTCAGAGAAGGAGCAGATCAAGAGAGGCAGTATGGAAGACAGCACAGGAAGGATGGAGGAGGAAGTCTGTGATAGAACTACTTACGGTATGACCCAGAGCTGCCATTAGGTTGCATCTACAGGCATGGTAAGCCAGTTCCCATACTGGCCAGCATCCCTCCATGGGCCATTGATTATTTTTTTTTTGTTGTTTTAAAAGAAAATATCTCACTATGTAGCCTTGGCTATCCTGGAGCTTGCTATGTAGATCAGGCTGGCCTCAAACTCACAGAGCCACCTGCCTCTGTCTCAGGACTGCTGGGATTAAAGGCTTATACCACCACCCATCTGGCCCAATAGTATAATTGCATTTCCTCTCTCTCTCTCTCTCTCTCTCTCTCTCTCTCTCTCTCTCTCTCTCTCTCTCTCTCTCTTTCTGTGTGTATGTCTCACTCATTCTCTCTATCTGTATGTGTGTCTGTCTCTTTTCCTGTCTCCCTCTCTGTTTCTGTGTGTATGTGTGTATCTCTGGCTCTCTATGTCTCTCTATCTCCTCCCTGTCTCTTTGTATGTGTGTGTGTCTATGTCACTCTGTGTCTGTCTCTCTCCTCTTTGTCTCTGTGTCTGTGTGTGTCTCTCTCTGTGTGTGTGTCTCTCTGTTTATGTGTGTGGCACATGTGTAGAGGTCAGACCACAACATGCAGCAATCAGTTTTCTCCTACTATGTTGGTCCTGAGGATCAGACTCAGCTCACCAGACTTAGATGCAAGTGCCCTTCCCCACTGAGCTGTCTCAGTGGCCTCAACTTTAAATTGTCCCCACTTGGGAGGCTGGAAAGATGGCTCAGCAGTTAATAGCACTGACTGCTCTTCTAGAGGTCCTGAGTTCAATTCCCAGCAACCACATGGTGGCTCACAACTGTCTGTAATGGGATCCGATGCCCTCTTCTGATGTGTCTAATGGCAGCTACTGTGTATTCATATAAATAAATAAACCTTAAAAAATGTGCTAGCCTCGGCAGCACAAATACTAAATTATCCCCACTTGGAACAAGAACGGAAAAGCCCAAGGCCTAGAGATAGGCAGAATCCAAATCCCAGAGTCAGGGATTGCTCCTGTGAACTTGAAGAACTTGCTTACATACACACACACACACACACACACACACACACACACACACACATACACACACACATCACACACACGTTGGATGGTAAAACCATGCCGAGAAGCATGGTAAGTAAGGTAGAGCAGGTTGAGACCTGGAGACTCAGTGGGCACACACCTGAGACTTAAGCAACTCCCTATTCCCTGTCAGATTCCTGGCCTGGAACACGCCACACTCCTCATATAAAAAAATGTGTCCTACGGTTCTGTGCCCCAGCCCTCGGGGGTTCGACGAGACCTTAGGGAAGGGGCAAAAGAATGAAGGGACAAGAGACACAAGAAATGAGAGCAAGTCTGGGGTTCTGATCAAGCTCTGAAACTTTAATTTTGGGTGCAGGTTATAAAGTCACAGCAAACCGGGAAGTTTGGGTGAGGGTCATTGCTCAGGGCTATCCCACTATTGAATCCTCATTGTCTAAGACCAGTCCACAGTCATATCCTTATTGCCCTAGACCATCCCATTGTCGTAACCGGCTCCCAGGAAATACCAGACGTTCTTTAAGTTCCTGGGGCCTGAGACCATGAACGTCCTTTCTTAACCTTGCACTGACTAGGCTTTCTGGAACAGCAGGTAACTTCTTAGGTTCTCTTAGAACAGCAGGTAGTTTCCTGGGTTTGGCTCCCGGCAGTTCTGTAGGCCCATCCAGAGTTCTCCATGCAAATGAGGTACCTAGAGGCCCAGAGGTCTTAGCTATTTTCTTCCCAGACATTCCTCCCAGAGAAAGGTATTTAACCTCAGGTTCACCCTGAGAACTGGGTATGATACATTTTGCATCCATTTTCCACCATAAACAGCCAAAAAACAGTTTAGAACCATGGACTGTCTTTTTCATCATAAGCCGCTGTGGGGAGCCATGAAGACATTCCATTACAGAGCTGCAGCTTAATTCTCCCGTAGAAGGCCTCTCTGTGCTTCCAGCCACAACTGCCACCAAGCCTGCCTCCACCAAGCTAAAGACAATTACTCCGTGGGACAAGCCTGAGCTCCCCTTTCACCCCCTGCTCCCCAGCCCCAGGCTAGACGTTGTCCCCAGCCCATGAGCCCCCAGACACTTTTCTCTGCCCTGCTGAAACTCCCAGTGGCTCATGGATATCCAAGGGTCTGAGAACCTCATGGCCTGGGCCTTGTTGCAGGCCCAGGGACCCTGAACCAGCTCTGGCTTTCCCACCCCTGGAGTGGTGTTTCAGCACTTCCCTACAGCCCAGCACCTGCCCTGGTGGTGGTGGCATGGAATAAACAAAGTCAAACACCCAGCATTTGCTTCCCCAAGAGGCTGTGCCCAGCAGAGGGGCGGATATGGACCCACACCCCTGCCCCCAGGAGAGAAGATGTAAACATAGACCCAGTTCTCCCTAGGGATGCTGAGGTTCCTAGTAGCATCTGATGCTTACTTCTCTTACCCCCAGGAGCAGGAACTATGCCTAACCTGGCAACTAGGGTGAGCACACATGCACAAATGAAACCATCCACTTCAACCTCTATGCTGGGGAGGAAACCAGCGCATGGCAGGCAAGTGTTCTACGCTCAGCCAAACCCAGCCCCCAGCCACCTTCTTAGCACAGTGGGTGTATCTGGTGCCCAAGCTCTTTTTAGGATTATCCTGGAGTCTGCACCCATTAGAGGCGCCCTGTTCTCCCAGCCCAGTCGAGCTGGTAGATTGTCCTGTGTCAAACAGGTTAACTCTAGCACTAAGGACAGCCAGCCTAGATGCTGCCCAGGCCCTGGCCTCCACTATTCCTCCGCATTGCTAGAGAAATGGCTCCCAAAGAAAGACTGGGCTAAATCGGGGTCCCGAAGCACCAATGAGACAGGTGGCGGGAGGGATAACCTGCTGTAGCAAATGTCCGTAATCCTAGCTCTTGAGAGACAGGAAGATCAGAGTGGGAGACCAGTCTGAACTGCATAACAAGAACATTGATTCCTCCACCCCCCAAAATAAATTTAAAATCCACTAATTCAAACTCAGCATCACCTTCCTTTATCGTGCCCCAAAGTACAGTTCCCACAACCTCTCACACACAGCCCTGCGGCTGCATCTGCACCTACCTACATATCTCCATCTTAAACCAAGATAGTTATCCTTCATTTCCTATGTATCTACAACTCTGGCTATGCAACACCACCTATATTCAGCCCACCAGAACAGCCACTCAGCAGACTCAGGACATTCAGGACCCTTGCTCTTCAAGTACCTGTGACATCATCAGCTGCCCACAACCTCCTGTGACCTCACCACCTGGACAACTGAGCCTAGCAGGGCCAAGCCACTCCTTCCCAACCACCATAAGTAGCAGGGGGCATAGATGACCACTGAGCCCTTGGAAGACCCTGAAGCCAACAGCAGTTCTGCACATGATCTTCCCGAGGCCTCCTTGGACAACAAAGCTGATGAAAACTCTGAAGATTTCCCCGAAGAGTCTGAAGGACCAGATTCCCTGCCTGATGATGTCCCACCAGGAGACCTCGCCATAACACTAGCTGAACAGGATGTAGATCAAGACTCTGCAGCAAAAACCATCGCCACAGAGCAAGATGAAGAGCGGGTCTTCATTCAGACTGATACCTTCATGAAAGAGGATGAAGACCTGGCCTCCAAGCCGACTGCCATCATCGCGGGGAAAAATGAAGACCAGGTGTCCATGCAGATTACCACAGTCATTGAGCAGGATAAAGACCAGGCCTCCGTGCAAACTGCCACCTCAATGAGACAGGATGAGGACCAGGCACCTACGCAGATTGCCACTTCTGTGGGACAGAATACAGATCAGGCCTCCGTGCAGACGGACACTTCCACAGGGCAAGATGTAGAGTCAGCCATCTCCACGACCACAGCAACTGCTGGGGTCAAAGATGAAAGCCCAGATGTTCCAAGTCAGAGCCAGGAGAATTCTGAAGAGATCACATCTCTGTTGCCACAAGACCCAGGTATCCTACAAGTGTTTGTGGGTTTCCAGAACCCAGTATGGGACAGGCTAGCTGAAAACAACCGTACAAGTCGGAGCCGGACGGTTTCCCCAAGTGACTCCCAGACCCAGGAAAAGATATCATCGGGAAAGCCGAATGTTCCAGAAGGGCAGCCAGAGATAGCTCCAAATGCTGACGTCCCATCTGTCCTGCCTGAAGATGTCCAGCCTTCTGTGGGAGCTACTGACCCATCCCCTTCGGATAACAGTGGTCCTGACTCAGAACCCATGACTAACACCAAGTCTGCTGAGCAGGAAGCTGAAGGTGTCAAAGCCTCAAATCCTGAGAACAAAGCTAGATCCCCAGGGCAGACCAATGAGGATTTAGCAGCTGACTCAAGGACCCCGCAGGCCCCATCTGTTCCAAGCTCCCCAGGAAGCAATCCACCCCCCTCTCCAGATTCCTGCCAGGTGGCACCGGGCAGGAACCTTCTGGACCCCAGTCTGTATAGGCCTGATGTGGAGAACGACTACATGCGCTCCATGACGAGCCTGCTGGGTTGTGGAGAGAGCTCCATTAGCTCCCTCACAGACATCTTGGTGTGGTCAGACACCGCCACGCGCATGGGTGTGGCTGTGGGGATTCTGGCCTCAGGCTGCAGCTCTCCAGCTGACAGGCTACAAAACGAGGGTCCCCGCCTGCGCACCGTGGCCAGCCTCCTGCGAAGTGCCAGGTCAGCTTTCTCCTCTGGGGTGATGTCTGGGACTGGCTCAGCCCTGCGCTCTGTCACACACCTGCTGGAGTCTGTGGAGAGACGTACTATGGAAGGCATCCGGTCAGCTATGGGCTACCTGGCCCATCACTTCACTTCACGCTGGGCCCGCACTGGCCCCAATGGTGACTAGACCAGCAAGCCCCCTACTCCTTCCCCAACCCTGCACTAGATAACTGCCCCTGCCTTTCAGTAAATAACCACAAGCGTTTATTTTCTAAGCTCTGCCCTTATCCATGCAGTGGGACCACAGGGTTAAAGGACCAGCGGGGCCCACAGGTAAACTGAGGACATGTACCGACCTGTCCCTCAGCCCCATGCCCAAGCTACCTGTTTCGGTTCTGGAAGGCAGGAGAGAGGAGAGGGTTTGGGGGTAGATGTACTATATCAGGCCTCCTCACAGGGACACACACAACACACACACACACACACACACTTAGAATCAGACTTTTGAAGTCTCCTCTTGTCCCGAGCCCCACTCCCTGGCCTCTTTTCCTTGGAGAAAGGAACTCCACCACCCGATGCAAACATAAACATCCCAGTGCCAGAAGACACAGGGACACAGTGACTTTTTATGCACTATGCCGTGGGACAGGGCTCCAGGGATGGTGACCAAACCATCTCTCGGACTAAAGGAGTGGGAGGATACTGTGGATGTAGTAAGGCCTTTAGATTTCAAACTGGCCAGAACTGGCTGCCCACCCATGGTCTGCATTATCTCCATGATGTTTAACTGCCGTTTGCATCTTGGAAAGTATGTACAGGAGCAAGAATTGACAGCACACCCAAGGCCTCACCCTCTGGCAAGTCCCAGTGCTATATCATGCATAAAGCCCTAGCCCAAACCTGCCCTCGGCACAGCCACCTTCAGCCCAGCCAGGGACCATCCACCGATCCGTTTTAACTTTCCTATGTGTCTCCAGGTAGGGCCCTGAGGATGAACTTCTGCCCACTAATTGGTTTGGCTTTTAGAGGTTTTTGATGCACATATTTTTAAAGACATTTCTTCCTTTAAAAAAAAATGTTTATTTTACGCATACAAGTATTTTGGCTTTATGGATAAGCGCAGTCACATAGTGCCCCCGGAGGCCAGAACAGGGTATTAGATTCCTCACCTGCCAAACTGAAACTGCAAAGGGTTTTGAGTCACCATATGGATGCTGGGAATTGAATCTGGGTCCTCTGCAAGAGCAAATAGTGCTCTTAACCGGTGAGCTGTCTCTTTGCTTCCAGTCGCTCACATTTTTAAAGTTAGAGTTTACATAGAAGTCAAGATTTTTGCTTCTCTGAAAATAAAAATCTAAGATCCTCATTGTTTTCAGGGTCCAAGCAGTTAATCTGCGCACTCCCCGTGACAGCTTACCTTTGTCCGGGAAGGATGCCCCATGCTGGTCCCCAGAGGTACCAAGAACCTCTTCCACCTTACAGATGGCTCTTGAAAGGAAACAGGAGTCTAAACCCCCAGAGGAAGCACAGGACCCAGCTGTGTATGCCCTTTATGTCGAGAAGCTGCTGCCTGCTGAAGGTGCAGCTGAATTGCCCCTGTGTCATGAAAACAAGGGGTCCAGACTGTGGAGGGTGACCATTCAGACCCCAGGAAGGAAGGACCTCCTAGAGGAACTGAATCAAACTTTAAGAGTGAGAGATGGTTTCCTCAGACAAGAGTGTTAAGAACGAAGGTTGAGGGAAGTGAGACAGGTGGCTGGGGGTGGGGGTGGGGGGCGGAGAGAAGGAAGTCAGGTGGGAAATGTCGGGTAGCCGGAAGGCACAGCAGGTGATGATAAAACTGCCAGGTAAGGAGCCCCACCCCCACCACGACCCCCACCCCCACCTCCTCGCTTTTAATAGTTTAAACAGCCACTGTGAGCCAGGCTCTGCCACTCTTTGAAGCTACAAAGATGAGGTCTTAGGTTTTTACTGCCCTGCTAAAATACCTTGACCAAACACAGCTTGAGTCAGCTCAGAGTCCTTCAGGAAGGGAAGCCAGGGCAGCAACTCAAAGCAGGAACCTGAGGGGCGGGAACCTGAAGCAGAGCCCATGGAAGAATGCTGTTTATTATGCTGTTTATGCGCCGCCCCCCGGGGGGGGGGGGCGCGGGGGGGGGGGGGGGGGGGGCGGGGCGGGGGGGAGTTCAAGTCCCTTCTTCCTAGATGACCCTAGCTGGCACCAAGTTGGCAGAGGATTTTACAGCACAGGTGACCTGGACTGAAGGGGACCATATGCCAAACTGAAGTCATCCTGAATACAGGAATTAGCAATAGAGATTTTTGCCGGGTGTGGGTGTGGCTATGTATGTGTCCTGCAACCGCTGGGTTCCCTCTCGTCCGCAGTCTTTACTCATTCTAGACAAGGAGAGCTGAGAGAACATCGTCTCACTGACTCTGATAGGCCAGTCCTGAAGAAGACACCCTTGGATGGCTTGGTAGCCACAAGATTGAAACCTCTGTCCTCTGGCCTGGGCCCCAGTTGGGCCCATGACGGGCAGGGTCACTTGCCCTGCTGCCTTGTGTCCTGTGGGCTGCTCCCTCTCCTCCCCTTGCAGTAGGTGGGGGAGGAGGTTGCTTTATTTTAGCTTCTGCCTTCTTACACTTGGTCATATTATCTTGGCTGGGGGCTATACATTTCTATGCTGGAAGTCACCCAAACCACACTACTCTAAAGGAGAACCAACCTGAATAAACTGTAGGGAGGATAAGAAATGGATGTCTCTGGGGTACTCTCAGGAGTCGAGATTTGAGGTGGGACAAAATAAATCCCTACCAAAACCTGATGTTAAGGGTAACCTGTGACAATAGACAGCATTTTCTGGGATAGACTTTTGCATGTGTTCTGTTGATCACGTAGTCAATAGAGGCAGGAGGACCACAAGTTCAAGGCCACCCTTGGCTGTATAGTGAGTTTTCAGCCACCCCAGGCTACTTGAAACCCTGCCTCACAAAACAAAACAGGGGCAGTAAAGATGGCTCATCATTTAAGAGCACTCAGCAGTTTTTGCAGAGAAGACCAGGGTTCACCACCTAGCACTTGCATGACAGCTTACAACCATCTGTAACTCCCATTACTAGGGGATCCAACACTCTTTTCTGACCTTTGCATGTACTAGGCATTTGAGTAGTACACAGACATACACACAAGTAAAACATTCATACACATAAAATTTTTAAAAAATTTGTAACAAAACAATAGGCCAAATTCAGTGGCCCACACCTTTAGTCCCAGTACTAGAGAGGCAGAGACTAGTGAAGGCTAGCTTGCTCTACATATTAAGTTTCAGGCAGCTAGGATGACACACAGTTAGACCCTATCTCAAGAGGGAAAAAAAAATTAAAATATCATCTTAGCCAGGCCAAAGGTTAGCAGGCCAGACCTAGTGTCTGCCATCTGTATCAATGAAAGACTAGCTCCCTCAGCTGCTGGGAGCATTCACATGGAGCAGGTCCTGCAGGGAGATGCCTTACCCAGAGTCGTGCAGTATTGCAAGACTAACTGGGGTTAGTGGATGGACATTACAGCTTTGACTTCTCCCTCTGCCCGTTCTCACTCTCACAGGGCGGAGTGATGCCCAGTGACAATGTTTACCACATTGTGGCTTTGAGCCTGCATGCTACAGGTAATGGGTTTTCTAATGACAAAATAAGCCAATTCAAGTCGAATTAAACATATAAAGGCAGGTTTATTGGTGGCAACTCTCAGATGGCCTTAAGGAACAGGGCCAGGAAAATCACCATGCAGAGAGAGGGGTTAGGAGGTGTGCGGACATGGAGAAAGAATTGCAGAGAGAGGAGAGAGAGAGAGAGAGAGAGAGAGAGAGAGAGAGAGAGAGAGAGAGAGAGAACACAATGTCTGGATTATATAAGAAAAGCCTTGGAGGGAAACCCAGCCCCTAATTTCTACATGTGCACGGTGGCATGTGTGAACAGAATGCACACACACGTGCACGCATGTGCACAGCACAAACAGGCATACAAACACCAAATTAATTTTTTTAATTTTTTAATTTTTTTATTTTTTTTGGTTTTTTGGTTTTTGGTTTTTGGTTTTTCTTGAGACAGGTTTCTCTATATAGCCCAGGCTGTCCTGGAACTCACTCGCTAGACCAGGCTGGCCTCGAAAGCAGCAATCCGCCTGCCTCTGCCTCCCAAGTGCTGGGATTAAAGGCATGCGCCACCACTGCACCAAATTAATTTTTAAAAAGTATCTTGCCACATGTGCTGGCATGTTTCTTTGTAGTGATTCCCCTGCAGGCTTTACAGCAGACAGGGAAAAAAGTGATCAGGGATCAGAATGAAGTAAGAATAAAACTCGCTCAGCCTGACTTTATTGTAATCGGTGCTGGACCAGAGGAGCTCGAGAGTCTGGCCCAGATCATTTTACTTTAGGGATATTTAAGCACAAGACACTTTTGGGGAAAAAAAGTATTCGGATATGAATTACCTCCATCCTGAGTGCACAACAACTTAAGAGATGTTTACATGAAGATTCTTCACAGAGCACATCTGGCTTCTTTCACAAGAATGGATTCCATTGACTCAGAGATAGTGTCCGAGGTCTAGGGTCTAGGAAGCTTCACTGAAATAAGCATAATGCTTGTGGGTATCAGGACTGGCCTGCCCCTAAAGTAACACAGCTGTCACTTAGGCTGTTGTGAAACACAAGTGACATCACTCCTAGGAATTGGCTTGTGGTCTAAATGAGATGATTTAGGGGAAAGGATCTGGGATAAGTAAAATCATAAATTCTGGGAGATACAGGCAGAGGCTCCCTCATCAGACAGCAAAGATCACCAAAATGTATCATTCCTGGCGTTCCAGGAAGACGTAAGCTGTGTGTTTAACTTTCCTGGCTTCTCCAGTGCATGCCCTTTACATCTCTTCTTGGTTTTGTTGTTTTGTGGGGTTTTTTTTGTTGTTGTTTCTTTGTTTAAGATGGGGTCTCACTATGTTCCCTTGCCTTGGCCTGGAATTTGCTATACCAGGCTGGCCTTGAATTTACAGAGATCCACCTGTCTCTTCCTCCTAAGTGCTGGGATTAAAGGTGTGTGCAACCATGCCAGGCTACTTGTATATTTCTATAATTCCAAGACCTGAAAGATGAAGACAGAAGAATTCCAAAAGCTCAAAGACCAGTCCAGG